AGTCAGCGCTGACTAGCCGGATGGTTTAGTTCCGCGATTAAAAGATACGCGCGAAGTTCGAATACCCGGCCGGATCACATGGGCTTGAGGCTGTTAGAAACTTAATCACTGGGATTGAGCGTAGAGATCTCCGGGGAAGAACCCCTCGCCAAACGCTGCTGTTCTGTCAATGGTAATTCTACGCAAAGAAAATCTTTTAATTGCGGAACTAGACCATCCGGCTAGTCAGGGCTGACTAGCCGGATGGTCTAGTTCCGCGATTAAAAGATATGCGCTGAGCTCGTTAGCACCCGGCCGGATCACATGGGCTTGAGGCTGTTAGAAGCTTAATCACTGGGATTGATGAGCGTAGAGATCTCCAGGGACGGACCCCTCGCCAGACGCCGCTGTTTGGTAAACAAATATGGTGATTCTTGTGTAAGTGGACCGATTGGGATTCGAACCCGTGCGTGGAACCTTGTGTAAGAACGCTTTAACCATTAGACCACTGAGTAAGCCAAAGATATATATGCTCAGACCTCGTTAGCACCCGGCCGGATCACATGGGCATGAGGCTGTTTGTAGCTTAATCACTGGGATTGAGCGTAGAGATCTCCGGGGACGGACCCCTCGCCAGACGCCGCTGTTTGGTGAACAAATAATGGTGATTTTTGTGTAAGTGGACCGATTGGGATTCGAACCCGTGCGTGGAACCTTGTGTAAGAACGCTTTAACCATTAGACCACTGAGTCAGCGCCGCTCTTTTTCTCGTCTGTACTCTATGCACACTTCAGATCGATTGTAGTATAGCCAAGGGTCTATGCGAAGAAAAATTCACGACACACATAGGCCTACACTGTACTAATAGTCGAATATCGGAGTCCGTGGGGGCGGGGGGGGTCATTTTTGGGGGGGGAAGGGTATTCGATATACTCGTAGCATAGCATGGGGGTGGTATATTGCGTATACATATGCGGGGATTGCAGTGACGAACTACGGAGGAACAAGAAGTTTCTTTCTTTGTGTTTTCCTTGGGAGTGTAGTAGATTGGTGGAGATTCATGGAGATTCGGTCTGGGTGTTAAAGCGTTATGCGTGACTTGATGCCGTGATGGAATGACGAGCTCAAGCACGCCCCCGATGAATACAACACACGTTTTTCAACACGTCTATCCCGTCCACCCGGCCTGCTGTTTTCAGTTTTCAGCAACAACAGGCGCACGGCAGAGTGTCGCAACCTGGGTGTTGCTTGCGATTTCTTCAGTTTGCCAGCTCATTTTTCACGGTTGCGACTCCCATCTTTGACCACCACCTACCCAAAGGTAGACGAGCTCAACAATCATAGGGCGGCAGCCGCGCTGATGGCCAGCATCATATAGATGGGCAATCCGAAAGAATTAGCGTGTTGGAGGCCCTGTTGCTCTACTGCTGCGTGACGCCGTGGATTGATGTTAATGTGTCCGACCAAAAACACATAATCTCGCCGCAATTTTTCCAACGGCATTTTGGTGAGGTGGCACACGTCTCTCACACACCTTATTGAGCAGCACCCAAGCACTCAATACCCACGAAGCAGCACGGCGCCGGGAGATGGTATAATATAGACAGCCGAACCGAAGGAATCAGCGCTTTGGAGGTCTTGGTGGTGGTGCTGTACTCGTTCTACTGTTTCCGTGTTTGCTATGTGTGATCGAAAAAAATTCCCCAGCACCAACAGCAGCAGTTGAAGACGAGAGCACCACGCAATGTCTAGTTTTGGACCAAGAACGGACTGAACGCCGCTTCTGCCGCTTGTCCATCTCCACAACAGCCCTGGACGTGAGTCTGGCAGGTCTTTCTAGCGTTCTCAGTGATGTTACAGCGCCCGCGGTGCGCTTGTCCGATGCTTCTGTCAAAAACACGAATTCGTTTAAGTAGCAAGCCCCAAAAAAAACCGGCTCCTTCTTTTCACGCTTTCGGGGAAAAACGCCTCCATATGTAATCAAGAAAACACGGTTTCGTTTTTTTTTTCGTGTTTTATTGGTCGATAAGAAGCACCCTTACCTACCCGTACGGCCCGTCATGGCCGAGCTGCTCTACGCTCCCATCACACACAACTGAGCCACCCGAATTATCGATTACGCTAGCGTGTGCCACGTCGTCTACGAGATTCGAGTCGAGCTTAGTTTGGAGTATCGCTTTGCGGCGATCAGCAGCAGCCACCGATGAGCGACACCGAGCAAGATCGAGTGAGCGCCCGACTAGCAGAGGAGGACGCCCGGATCAACGACTTGGTCAACCAGAGG